TGGGGGTCCGAATCCAGCTGGTGGCAGCATGTTGTGATCTTGGGTAAGTCACTTTACCCCTATGTGCCTCTCTCCACCCAGGAGTAAATGGGTACCTGTGAGGGCAGACACGGTTATGTTTAGCCATTTGCAACTTGTTTGCAATGGCAGCTTTGGGCTGGTATACTCCCCAGGAAGCTGAGATGGTTCCAGGAATGTTCGGATGATGTGAGCCCAATGTGCAGGGAGAATGATAGTTAACACCTCGGAATAGTTTTCTAGACAGAGGGCGCTCTACAACTGTGTGTTATTATTATTCTTATCTTGTCATAGCCTCAATCGTTTGGACTGTTATTAGTTCCTTTGCCCAAAACATGAACATGACTTTTGCTTAATAACTGTCATAATGATTAAACATCGACAAGGTCTAATCAATTTTCAACAAGGAACAAAAAGAGTGCAAAAATGTCTAGGTAGGAGAGTTTATCACGAGCATCAATAATAACACAAGCACAACAGGGCTGTGCAATATCATCGCCCAACTTCTAGTGATAAACTTGCGACTAATGAATGCATGACTGACTGGTTTTAATATTGAAAAGTGTGGCAAACTCATAAGTACGGCAGTGAACCAAATCTGTAACAATATTAAGAAGGAAATTTGTCCCTGAAGCACAAGCTGTGCTGAGTCGGGACGCTAGACAGCCTAACTCTAAACACATGTCGCTCTTCATTAGGGAACAAAAAAACCTCACGAATGACTGAATCCTTTATTACCTGACACAGTGCACAACCAACCTCAACCTCATCCCCAAACAAACTCTTGATTCTTTCACCGCAAACAAACTCTTGATTCTTTCACCGCAACAGACATTGTGATATCGGCCCAAGTGCATATACATGCATTTTCATTTTAATTCAAGAAGTCTCGCCTCTGATCCACACGCATCAATCATCGCGCCCCTGGACAGGTAGACAACTTTTTAATATTGGGAAATGTTATCTTGATAAGGAAGACGCCTGATGGGATAACGGCCCTTATGCATCACTGGTAAGGGTCTGTTGGCCATGTGCGGCGGGGCACAACTGTTTGCAACGACCCAACCATCTGGTTCCGGATACTTCTGGTATCAACTACAAGTATTCATATCCGAGAGCCGGCATTAGATGAAAAGCGTCGGTATTCAGTAACTCGGGATATTTCAAAGACTGCACGATTCCCATCTGTTTTGGTGAAGTAATTCAAACCAGCGCATACATCAAAATCCAGGACCTCATAACTACCTTGACATTTCAAAAATAGAAATAATCCCTCACATAAAATTCAGACAAACAACTCTAATTCTTAATGCTTCAGGCTGCAAAATAAATACCACACATTTTTCACGACCCATCGGGTCCATGTACCTTAACCCTTCAAACTTGCGTGGAATTTATTGACATGAACGGTACCATGTGTTCAACTTAAAAACTCCAACTTGGTTGCATCCATGTGTGTATCCAATGTGTAATGACTTTTACCTCTTATTCAACCTTTTCCATGCCTGGAATTTGGAATCCAATCTTTCTATTTCAATGGTGTGGTCTTGTCTGCTTTCGAGT